TGTGGCTCTTCCTTGCGACAAGACACAGGATGGATATAGGAGTTGGTAGAAGGAACCACAGACCACGGCGGGGAAAGCAGGCATCCCATACCCAGAAATGTGTCCCATGTGAAAACCCTTTGGCTGCCTTTGCTCACCAAAGCAGAGATTTACGAAGAGTCAGCAGAACAGGTACGTGTAAATGGTGTTTTTTTATATCAGTGACAGAGTCATTTTAAAGAGGATCTTCACCCCCATTTCATGTTGTTTTTCTTTAAATGCCATCTAACCTTTTTCTCTGGGTTACCCCCCAAACATAACCTCACAACCAGCAAATTCTGCATTGTTCCATGGCAGGGGTGGGCAAACTTCAGCCCTCCAGCTGTTGTGGAACTACAAATCCAACGAGGTATTGCATGATTCTCACAGCCACGACTCCCAGAGACAGATGGGATTTGTAATTTCACCACAGCTTGAGAGTTGGAGTTTGCCCATTCCTGTTTTATGATGATCCACCGCTGCACACCTGGTCCCACAGCACCACTTTCCACTCTGACATCATCAGGAGGCACCTGTCTATTTACGAATCTTTGGAGCTGGCCCCCTGATGACGCATATGTACCGCGGAGACTTCAGTGGGCTGACTGCATGGGGGGGTTGTCAAAAAAAAAAAAAAAGTATTTACAAAAACAATGATAAATATCTGGATTATGTGAGAGGGGGCAGGGGGGTTAGGAGAAAAATGACGTGAAAAGGGTGAAGGTCTTTACTGCCCCTTTTATCCATTGTGTGCACACAGTAAACAAGGGAGCAGGTCATTTTATGAAGCATACAGGCTACATGAGGCTCCCCCGCACATATACCCCGGTTCATAGAGGGAATGCAGACTTGTGAACGAAAAGGGCGATAGTAGCTGCCATATCCCACCAGATACCAGGCTACACTTATGCATCCGTCCCTGGAGCGCTCTCCATGACACACACCTCGTACTCCTCCCGGACTTTTACCTCACAATCTTTCTCACCTCGGCCCTCCGTGCTCCGCAAGCGCCACCAGTTCAAATAAATCTCGCGTAGTACGATTGGCTACCGCTGAGCAAATCACAAACTGGGTCATCTGTGCGTTCCACGCCTCTTTTTCGATTCACCAATAGGGTACAGTGATATCACGTGACGCACTTAATCTGTTTTCATTCCTCTTGTCTGGGGGGGCCTAAATATTACGTCAGAGGGCTGAAAAAGTGGTCACGTGGCGCCATGTTTTGACAGCCGATCCGTTTAGATGTGGACGTGTTATACTGGTTTAGTTACACTGATATAGGCCGGTCATTGTTTTATTGAACTTGGCCGTGTGACTGTGACCTGCTCACCGAAGCCACTAAAAAAAAATGTAATAGTTTCCAATGGCAGAGCAGTTTATGTGTAAATATGTCAGAATGTATCAGCCTCTGTAGCAGGGAGACTGCCAATGTTCATGTGCTCTGCATGTGTGCTTGTTCAGTCCAGGAGTAATGCTGACATCTTTTACTGGCCGTGTGATCTCTTCTCTATTGATATGTATCTGACAGTATAACCCTACAGGTAGTGGGGAGAAGAGACTCAAACAATAAGAAGCCTTCATTCTAATCATGGCATAGCACAGTAATCCAGGAGTATTCAGGAGAGTGGGGGTGAGCCATGCAAATCATTGCTTTAGACCCAATTGACCAGATGCACATAGGGCTGCCACCTTTCCTTTATGTGAAACCTGAACACAGCAATTTGGGGGGGGGGAATATTGAGGAGTGAGAAGCAGCCAGGAAAAAGAGCAAGAAAAGACAGCCAGGGGAGGGAGTAAAGAGACCGGCTATAGAGGACTACAGCAATACATTATACAGCAATACAAAATAATATGAAGCTACATACTCGGTGTTGTTCTGGGTTGGCGCCCTGATGTCTCCAGGTGGTCTGTGCGGGCTCTCAGTCTGTCAGGTGAGTCTTAGGTGTACTGTGCACACTCTCAGGTGGGCTATGCACCTCTCAGGTGGGATATGTGGCTCTCAAGTAGGCTGTGTGCTTTCTCCCTCTGTCTGATACCACTTCGTCCCAGTCCCAGCTGGTCATGGAGGAGAAACAGAGGGCGGGACTAGTCTCAGCGAGAGCTGCCGCAGACCAACAAGCGAGCTGACAGCGCCCAGCAGTATGCAGCTTTCTTAGGGAGCCACAAGTCCAGTTTAATTATTGTGCCCGGGAGTGAGGCGGGCTGACACCCGAGCACAAAATTCCAAACCCAGACTGTCCAGGTGAAATCCCGGACGGGTGGCAACCCTGGATGCACATCCAGAAATGCTTTTAAATAATGCAAATATTGCCTAATATTATAGAACTATGTATTCCAAACTACATATAGCTGTTTCAGGCTATTTAGCCATGATCCGTACAGTGTATGAAAACCATAGAGTAGGGCTTGGAACCCAGCGAGACATTATTGATGAAACACGAACAACACTAATACTATAATATATAGACACTGAGTGGCCAGATTATTATGACCACTGAAAACATTTCCTGTCCTAGGGTGACAACAGTGTTTCTCTATAGATACAGTAGAGTGAGTGAACTGAGTCGTCCTAGAAAAGGTCAGTGTTGCTGCCAGGTTCACCAGCTGACAGTAAAAGATAAAAGAAAGCTTCCTCTAAGGGCTGGTAAGCTGCTGTATATCATATTTTTGTTCTTGGGTTTAGACACCCTTTAGTTTAATGTATTACTATGTGCAAAATAAAAAGTACTAGTTTTCCCATCTGCCCATTGCTTATGTATTAAGAGAAATAACATCTTACATATAACATTTTACATACTTTTTCTCAGGTTCCTAGGGGATATTCATCACCTAGCAATCAACTCACTCCCCCTTTTTTCCCTATTCTCTCTTTATATCCTCTTTTCTCTTAAGCTGGCAATACATACATACATACAGCCTGCTGGCTGAACGAAAGAAATCAAAACAGATTCCTCCATCCACGCTAAAATGCCGGGATATTGTGTTTTGATAGCTGCCACCCGCAGACCCAGCTTATTTTTCAATTGACTATGCAAGCTGGGTAGTGCCAGCAGGGCCACCCACAGTGTGAATCTCAGCAAATTCGAGCAGTGTATGGCCATCTTTAACTCTCCTCCTCCTATACTTTTTTTCTAAATGAATCGCTCTCGCTCCATTACATTTCCCATACCATATCCCCCCCCTCCCCCTTTCAATGCAAATCCATACCTAATTTAAAAATTCTCTACTCATTGAGATCCCAACCTAAGCATGACCTTTAGATCTTCATGTTTTACCGGGTTGGACACTATAATGTTTACAAAATGTGAAATTAGACTGAACCTTAACCAAACTGCTCTTTTACTCCAGGAACTCTATTGGGGGCCCAGATTTTGTACCTTCTAAGTTCAAATGTACCTTTGTACAATGTTCCTAGTACCAGGCCAGTGATCCTCACAGTACTGCTTGGAGCTGCACAGCCTTTCTCTCGAAAATTCTTAGTACTGCACATCAACATTTTGGCTACATTTATTCCTATAGGAAAGCTGTACTCATTGTGGCCTCTGGTGTTTGCTCAGAGTATGATTTTCCCATAAAAATGATGCGGCCGTGCTACACATGCACAGTATGAATTTCCAGAAGAAAGGCCACACAGTAAAGTTGTCAGACAGGCTTAAGATAAGTTTTTCATTTAGTGGGCAGTACTTTTGTACTTTAAATACATTAACTGGAGCTGCTTAAAAAGTGCTGGCTGGAGTTAGACGTTAATTCTTTCAGACTCTTATGGCCCTCTAAACATCTAAGACTAACCTGCTGTGTTATTGTAATGACAGACTGCATTAGATATGTATTTTTTTTGCCCATAGTTGCACTTGAAGTTAATTTCCTGTATTCTCTCCATCTTTCTTGCAGTACAACGTACATCCTACAAAATATCCCTAAACCATCTCTAAATACTGCATAATGTATAAGAGAAAATACACAGCTTATCAACCAACATTCCATCATTGGGGTCTAAGAAAGCTGTTCATGTAATGTCTTTTAATAATCATTTCTATTTACAATCATGTCTAGGTTACTCTCCAATCTCTTCCCATTAACGCTTAAACCCATGCATACATATCAATACAGTAATACCTTGTTTTACAAGTAACTTGGTTTGAGAGTGTTTTGCAAGACAAGCAAACATTTCTGAAAAAGATTGCCTTGATATACAAGCAATGTCTTGCAATAAGAGCAACATTTTGTAGAAAAGCACCACCCGAATAAGGCTGTAGCAGTGCGAGCGATGAGTCTTTTTAACGACAACGCAATGTCACATTGGAAAGATTCCTTGTTAAGGTTTCACGAAATGAAAAAGATTCCACTGAGCCAAGAGATAGCAGTGTTTCCGTTAGTGATAGTGAAAGTCATCCTACACAATAATTCTCCTCTCGCTCTCGTCCCCCTCACACCAGCCACAAAGTTACCCGTAATTGGTTTATTTTTCTTTATATTTTGTACAGTATTATATTACAGTATTGTCATCATTTTTTATATGCATATTTTTGGGTTGTGGAACGAATCATCTGAATTTCCATTATTACCTATGGGGAAATTGGTTTGATATACAAGCGCTTTGGATTACAAGCTTGCTTCTGGAACGAATTATGCTCGTAAACCAAGGTATTACTGTACTCAGTTAAAGGACATACTGTATATATGAACTATCTTACTTGCTGAAGGATTTGTAATGTTTGCAGCCAGACTTGGATTCCAGACAGCATAGCCAGGTCCTTCACTCTCTGAGACCTCTCAGCAGAACATTCTGCACTTGAGAAACACAGCCTGGTCTAGGACCTACCCCTGCTGGTGATCATCTCGTGCTTTCTCCAACTGTAACCATTCTTACACATAGCTCTATGCAATTGTTTATATGTGCTTGGACCTAATATTTAATGGTGTTTTTCTTGCAACAAAACACAGAAAATAATAAAAGAACCACGGAAGACAAGTGACTGTAAAGTAGTAAAACACCAGTTTATTGTGAAAATTTAAAACCTTATCTTATGGTGAGTACAAATGAGTATTCAATCATTAGAAAGCAGTATAGCCTAATAGCTAAAAAGCAAAAACATCCATACAGGATAAATAGGAGACTGTAGCAATGATAAATAAAGGCAATGGGTGGAAAGTACTTAACACTCTTAAATTTAGCATGAGGCTCCACAGTTTAAGGCAGCAGTTGAATTGATGTTCTTATATGTTGTTGCAGGTGATGTATTTTAGGCTGGGTGTGGAAACTGCAAGGTCTCTGTAAAATCACAGTCAAAGTCTTCAAAGACGTCAGTTTCTGACAAGTCCATATCTTCTGATTTCCGCATGGATAACACAAGATCTACTGGGTACTTCTGAAGAAGTGAGGGATCAAAGGTTATTCCTCTGAAGAAAACATGGCTCTGGAACTGATGGAAGTGGCGTAGCCTCTGTCTTGGAACCTTACACAGGAGCTAAGAAAGTCATAACACCTTTACATCAGTTACAATCAGACATATGCAAAAATCACTATTAGGTAGGCTAAACTAGACCTTGAAACTGTGAGATAAGCCAAGGCATTTGGTCACATGAAGGAGAGGAGCAGTCAATCCGAACCCTGGTCTTTCTTTTCAGCAGAGATCATATAAAAATGTATGAGCTAAGGATAACTAGTCCTGGAGTGAAAAAGTTTGCTACACATGGATAGTTTCTTGATAGTGACAACCGCAAGGGACACTATAGGAAGTCTATGAGCCTCAGTCTAAAAGTAACACAGAACATGACATAATAACACTTGAACCATTTTCATTGGGTAAGACAGATTCTTTTAGACCTTCTATGCAGTTAAAGGAGAACTATGGGGTCAGTGTTTTTTCCCATAGTTCTCCTTAGGGTAACGGGAGGACACAAACTAGCGTCCTCCCTTCACCCTAAGCTCAGTATACCGCGAGCTACAGCTCGCGGTATACTGAGCCGCCGGAGCGGATCCCGACGTAGATGACGGGATCCGCCCAGCTGCGTGAGTGACAGCTGGCTCTGCCTATCCGCCACATACAGCCAGGTGAAGACTAAAGAGGACACAGAAACTAAGCAAAGAGTTAGGCTTGAAGTTTTCTAAAATGATAAAAACTTTTATATATTTGTGAATGGTATTATTTATATATTGAGGTAGGATTACAATGACATGGAATGAAAAATCTGCTCACCGTTTTTCAAAATCGCTGCACTCCTTCAACACACATTGAGTTCTCCCCTGGCATTGCCTTCAGCCACGCTACAGAGCCGCTGTCATCCAAAAACTGACAGGATGACAGCGGCTCAGATCAGAAGACGCTCGGCCATCCTGAATTGGGGCCAGCCCCCCCCCGACGGTGATTTTTTTTACGGATCCCCACTGCCACAGACCCTACAAGCTTATAGTAGAACTGTAAATGCCAGGTCCGTACGGCGTACTGAGCTGGCCAGCTGGAAGCACTTTTGTTGCTCCGTACGACATACGTCCTTGGCAGCGAAAGGGTTAACTGTAGCACATTGAAAGGATCATTCACACTTCTTCAAAGAAACGCGTTAGAAATGTTCTTATGTGTAAAAATGAGCACTTCAGACACTTGCAAGTGTTTGTTACTGCTCAGATACTTTTTACTACCTGGTAATTGAAAGTGATGTTCAGATCCTCCCTTACTTTACCAGTGTAATAATATTTCTATACTTTGAAAATAGCTTTAAAACCATTTACGGCATACCTCTTTTAGAAGAAAGGACAATCCTTGGCTTAGAGACTCCGGAATATTGAATGCTGCTTGATTGACAAACTCCAACATACTTATGTGGTCTCTAGCACATCGAACTGGAAACTAAGATAAAGTACAACCCAGTTAAATGCTGAGTACAAGGCTTGGCTATATTATGCATATAAATGCCATAACGTGTTCCTTTACCGCTCCAACTGCCAGTGCATACAGCAAGACGCCCAAAGACCACCAGTCAGCTGAGTGGCTGTAGGGACCTCCAGAAAGAACCTCAGGAGCTAGAAAAACAAGATAATGTACATAACATACAGGATGAATATTTACTGTTTATAGAATTAGGGTTCAGAGGCTTTGCCAACATCCTCTAGGCCCTAATGAAAATTATGACAAAATATATGTCTTTAATATTACTAACATATTCCATACACACAAAGACCTCAAACATAATAACAAAATAATCCCTGCAGGGGAGAAGACCGTGAGCTGAGTGATCAGCGGTTACATGATCATCTCTCAGTATATAGAGCCGATGCGTAACAGCAGCAGCTCTAAGTATTGGGAAGCGTATATTTTACTTTCTCAATATTTCTTCTTTAACATTTAGTGGCTACAGATAAGTACAAGACATAATATTGCAAGTGGCAGAGGAGGAACTATTTTCTTCATGCTCTCAGCACATCCTGCACACTCTCTGTACGAGTTTTCTATGGATATGTGTGTATTCTTCAAGTGCCAGAACGTCCAATTTGTACAGCATTGACTATAGCGGCACGAGCCAATGCACTGTGTTGGAACAAATGCTTATAGTCCAATTCAGGAGTGCACAGTAAAAAGATACAATACCGCAACTGAACTGAGTAAGCATTGTCACATTATAAAAGGGGGGCCTTTGAATATACTGTACATTGCAGACAGGATCACCAGGTATGATTTAATTAAAAGAAAGAAATCTAAAAGAAAAAAACAAAAACCTTTTTCATATTACAGGAATATTTACAACAACATATTTGGTTTATGTTTTGGGGTTTTGTGTTTTTTTAAATATACTTTAACCCCATAAAGCTGCAGCCAACTGTGTTGCAGCTTTTAAAGCTTTGTGCATTTAACACGTTACCTCCTTAACAGCTAGTCATGCAAAAAGTGGTCTTTTTCTTATGTCTGACTGCTGTTTAATGTTCACATTCAGTGTGCTTTCCTCTTACCCATGTATTGTAGGGTACCACATATGGTATATGCACGTTCTCCAAAAGGAAGTTGTCGAGAAAGTCCAAAATCTGACAATTTCAAATGTCCTAAAGAAAAAAAAAGAATGTTGTTAGATGTGTCAGATAGGTTTGGAAGTGTTCCCTTAGTGCACTTTACATTATAGCTTCCTGGTAGCACAATGTTTTTGGTTAGTTACCCTCCCTAAAACCTGTTGCTAGCTGAGATATGAATTATAGTTACTAGGTCACCCCTGAACATACTTTGAGCTACTGGATATGTTGATTACTGCTTATGATAACAATGATTTGGTGAACCCCTGAGTCTTTGGTGTGCTCCTAATCTATCTCCCCACTTCAGCCGGTTGTTTGTGGTAAGGTCTGGTCAACACTGAGTGCTTTTTAACGCTTTTTCTGCCCCAACAAGCTTAAAAAAAATGCCCCCCCAAAATCCCATTAATTTCTATGGCCCTATTAACGTCTGAGCATTTTGTCGCATTAAGAAAAATGCCTGTTGCTGGAAAAAGTACATGAACTTTTTTGGGGCATATTACGGCTCTTACAGGCCCCATAAACTCAATAGGAAATGCTTGAAAATGCATGCTTGCTGTGTTTTTGCACCGGTTTTACGCATGTTTGCTCATTAACATCAATGCTCTTTAATCTGCTCATATAAACGGCAACCGGATTTATGCGCGTCTTTATGAGCAGATTGAAGTCTGGCCCCATAGACTCAATAGGAAACACTTGAAAACGCGTGTTTGCTGTGTTTTTACGCATGTTTTCAGTGCGTTTGTAACATTAAACATCAATGCGCTTTAATCTGCTCATAAAAACGCATGATCGGATTTATGCGCATAAAACATGAGTGAAAACATGCAAAAAGTGCACAAAAACACGCATCAAGACAGCACATAGAAATGCACAAAAACGCAGTCGCCATGTGAACCCAGCCTAAAGTTGGACATACACTGGCAGATTTTTGTATAAACGTTCATACAAAAATCCCATCACAAGATTTGATAATGCCATCAGAGACTTGATGAATGTTGTTCGACATTTTGTCTAATTTTAACATTTGATTTTGGATGGAGTTTCCCTAACAAAAAAACATTTACTGTTAGAATTGTTTGAGAAAAATGTCCATCTTGTTCGTTTGATCTTTTTCCATCACTACAGTTGAACATGATAATCATTTTGACCCTTTTAACTATTAGAAAATTGAACAAACATTCTGAAAATGTTTTTTTATTTTTTTTACACAATTCTAATGGTTTCTGGCCAGTATATGATATATTGCCTTGAACCATTTTGAAAGCCCTCATCGTGTAATCTATCATGTTACAGACTGCATACTTCTTTTGATATCAGACAGAATAGTGCTATGGCACACTGGCAACAGTACCCGTGCAGCAAGGATATGTTATACAGATGAATTCTGAGGTCTAAGCAACACCACAAATTGTTGTAATGGGTTTTACTTACCTCTTTCGTCTAGTAATATATTTTCCATCTGCAATAGCACAATGACGGCATTATTAGAAATGATTTGAAATAAGATTGTGTTCTGAAAGTGTACTTTTATGAAATTTATATTGCTGGTTTGTCCCTGCTGGGGAGATTCACCCCTCTATCTGTCCTTTTGACCATTGTCACAAAAACAAATAGTGAAGGGAAATCCGAAATGTTAAAGTTGTCACCAGAACACAAGGTGAGGGTAAATCTTCATGTAAATCAACATGGACACAGATAGCAAAAACTTAACGCAGTTTTCCAAACCCCTTCAAAACTTAAAATACATGTTGGCTGTACATACGCCATAAAGTGTACATAAATTTGTTTCTTCAATACATCTGAACAGATCTGATAGAAGTGACACTAAACTCAGGAGTTAAACCTTAAAAATGCATTCAAGCAATTTAAAGGAGAACTATGAGGTGAGTGCTTTTCACTCACCTCATAGTTCTAGCCGACCTGTGACAATGAGACTGTCACAGGTCGGCTCAGTAGATCGGGAAGTGAGCGAACACATACCGGCGTTCGCTCACCTCTCGATCCTGTCACGACTCTCTGCCGTGACAGGGGAGAGGCTGGATTCCACCCGCTCCGATCCGCCAGCGCTGGCGGAACGGACGGGGGAGGGGGCGGGTACAGCTGGCTCTGCCTCTAGATAGGCAGAGCCAGCTGTCAGTCACACAGCTGGGCGGATCCCGGCACAATTGTCAGGATCCGCTTCAGCTGCGGCGTCTCAGTATACCGCGAGCAGCAGCTTGCGGTATACTGAGCCTAGGGTGACGGGAGGACACTAGTTTGTGTCCTCCCGTTACCCTGAGAACTATGGGGAAAAGCCGTAACCCCATAGTTCTCCTTTAACTATTAATAGTACTCGACCTTATTGATGCATCACTCAGCTGTAGATCCTCAAATCAAATCTGAATTGGTGCTGACACTGTCCTTCCTTCTGGAGGGTGGCTACTTTTGTTCCCCATGGTCCCTTTGTGTGTTGTAAAGTAGCCACCGCTCCAAGCTTGCTCCAGTAATGGACTATAACTTCAATACAAATTAGAAAACTAAACATTATTATAATCTATCTTTCCGTCTAATCTTTATGTTGTAAAGTAGCCATCGCCCTAAGCTCACTCCTGTGATGGAATACAATCTCACGTTTAGTTTACTAATTTGTATTGAAGTTATAGTCTATTACGGTGGCAAGCTTAGAGTGGTGGCTACTTTACAACACACACAGGGACCATGGGGAACAGAAATAGCCACCCTCCAGAAGGAAGGACCGTGTCAGAACCAATTCAGAGATGATTTGAGGATCTACAGCTGAGTAATCCACAAATAAGATACATTTTTTTAAGAATTAACTCCTCAGTTTAATGTCATTTATATGGAAAAAAAAATAGAAGGACCAATCAGCCTCTAGTAGATGGGATGATGAATGTTTTTCTCACTTAAACCATCAGAACAAGATTTATTGTTTGATATAAGTTGGTAGACAGTTAGTTGTAATTCTCTGTATTACTACATCCAAACAAATGTGTCTCATATACTTTGACCTTGTAGAACACAAAAATAGTTAGAATTATTACAACATAAAACTAGCTGAACAGATTTACGTATTTCAACTGTGCGTTTAGTTATGTGCTTGGAATTCTGCTTAAAATCCACTTGCAACAGACTCCGATGCTAATTAGTGATTTGTCACCGTCAGTGCAAATATTGCTGCAACATACAGATACATAAATACTAAAAAAAAAAAATCATATTATATTATGCCGGTTTACTGGCAATCTACTTTAACTGTAACCACATATCTTAATTCTTGTGCGCTTCATTCTTACCTTGACATCTCGATGTATGATTCCCAGATTATGAAGATAGACTGTAAGAGAAAAGTATGTGGTTGATGCTCTGTTTAATACAATATTGTATGATACAAAGTAAGGCTGATGTCAGAAGAACAACTCTACAGAGTTCAAACATGAAGCTGCACTCCTGATGGTCCAGACCTTTAAAAAAAGTGCTCGCTCGAAGTGATGGCGACAGATGGTGCCATGGCAGGACCAGATGGGAGAGTAAGAAATCACCAACACTCCAAATAAATGCATATCACAGAATTATTGTAAGCGTCACACAAGTCAAAAGCATACTGACGTTTTGGGGCCCCGCAGGGTCCCTTCCTTGAGTATGCTTTTGACTTGTGTGACGCTGTCTTCACAAAAAATCTGTGATATGCATTTAGGTGGAGTGCTAATGACTTTGTATTCTCCCACACACTCAACTCTGTTGCTAGTGATCCCTCTGTAGTTGAGGTATCGTGATGTCTCTCCTACCTCTAGTGATGGAGATTCACCAGCGTCGGGCCAGCGACAGAGCAGCATCTGACTAGAGAGACAGTGATTCCATGGGGACAGACAGGCAGCCTCTTTAGTGATCTTTATGGTGGTGATTTGGCTCTAGCAAAAGGATCGCCCATCTGACATAAGCCTAACACAAGAAATATATATATATATTATATACTGTATATATAACTCTAAGTTCCAGAGCCTTTAAAAGTCCTTAAAAATATTAACATGATAACTACCAGACAACAAGAGATTTACAGAATTTACATACGGTGTTAAGGTTATGTTCCTGGAGGTCATCATAAGTAAAATGCAGAGGACAAAATAAGTCAATTGTTTCACCTACAAACACGTGTTGGCAGGCCACATAGGGATAATCATGATCAAGTCTACTAATCTAAAGGGTTAGCAAATACTTCATTGTTAATTAAGAATTCCTTTCCTGTGTGAGACTATTTAACATCTAAAGGTGTTGCCAGGTTTTTCTCCTTGTCAAAGGTCAGCATAGGTGGTTACATTAAATAGGGAGCCCGGGCCCAAATCGGAAAATACAATGAAAAAATAAAGAAGAGAGGTACCAAAAAAAGGAGTGGTAAAAAAAAATTGAAACATCGCTCACTAGATCTCGTCACAACCTCCCATGGTCACCTCCAGGACTTATACAGAGCCTCCCCCATCCTCTGGAATTCCCTACCCTGTCCTGTCCACCTTTAGGTGATCCTTGAAAACTCATCTATTCAGGGAAACCTATCCCACCTCCACATAAAAATTGTACTTCTTCCATTAGCTCATTCCACACAATTATTACCTTTTGTATCGCTTGCCCCTCCTAGTAGATTGTAAGCTCTCAAGAGCAGGGTCATGCGAGCCAACAGTTATTATGAGCATCAGCGTATATGTTTGAGGAGTTTCAACAAGTGTAGGTCGAGTATAATTTATTCCTTTTTAATTGTTTATATTTTATGTGTGTTGCTATTAGAGCAGTGTCAGTGCAAAGTGACTACAGGCTATTAATCTTACCCAATACTGATACCAGTTCTGCTGCAAATAACCGGACTGTGCCTTCATCAGTTTGCTTGACAGACATCCACCAGGAATGGAGATCTCCATATCTGCAGTAGTTACACACTGCCGTAAACAAAGCAAGGCACATTAAAAACTTATCAGGACCTTTACCACCGGAATGTTATCTAGGGCTCCCAGTATACAAATATTATGAATAAAAATGTAATAAAAAGTATTTGGGTGAATTAAAAAGGAACATAGCTTATACCATACTATTCTCACAAAAAGGAAAATGTCATAGCTACCATGAAGTATGGTAACATATGGTGCTGACTGCATTAAAGCCCAACTGAACTTTCAGTTCAAATCAGCTAAATGGATTCCCGGTACATTAAAACAAAAAGTGTTCAAAGCCTTACAGGTTGCTTTCTTTAAAAGAACAGCCACAGCCTGGGTAGAAAAGCCTGTCCCTGGTCAGCATGCTGCAGAGTGGGACCCTTGCATACCCTTGGACACTCCAGGACGCACCCTATTGAGTCATAGCCAGAGCCCTCCAATAAGTGAGGAGCATACGCTTTACTGATTTAAGAGCTATTGGTCCGACTCCGTTTTAAAACGTATTGGACCTCTGCAATGGGACCACTGCTTCCCCACAGTGAGCAAGGGTACTAGTCTACAGCTCCTGACAGGGTTCAGGCTTTTCTACTCAGGCAGTGGCTGCTCTGGTGAGTGCCTCGCTCCCACTCCCACTGCTGCAGCGTAGGAGGAGAGAGGCAGGAGGGAGCGCTGTCACAGCCGGGCCAGCTCGGAAGTTTGGGTGAGTATAATTTTTTTTAAACCTAGACAAAAACGAGCAGTTAACCCTTGCAGTACAGGGATAGCCCCACTGCAAGGGTTAAGACAATGAGTTCTGCATTAAAGTCGAACTAGCCGTTTCCCAAAAGAAAGACCAAGTTAAAAATGTTCAATAAATGTTATTAAATCCTAACTCAAACATACCGATGCTGTTTTCTCTAAGTTTTCATTTGCATTCTGCCTGCTAACACATGCACCATGTATGCTACATTCAAGGCATGCCTCTAGTGACAACAGTCATAGATGCCAGTGTACTTATGTCAGCTCTAAACCAAACATTCAAGACCTCAAATGGCTGGTGTCATAGCTAGTAACATGAGCAGCGCCATGGGTACCAGAGACCTAAATAGAGGCCAAGATGGTGCCGTACTCAGAGGACAGAAGCACAGGAGGGTTTAGGTCCACTTTAATAGAAATGTAGGTTATGATTGGACAAATAGGTAATGGTACCACTTCTTTGTTTGCCTGGACAGACCATGTATTTGTTGCCACATTTCAAGGTGGAGTTTTCATTATTTGCCGTTTGATAGGGGTATCGGTATGTGGTAGTGTGAGTTGGGGCGACTTACTGATAAACAGATGACGTTGTCCTTGCCAGCTCCCTCCCAGGCATTGAATAAATGGATGTTTCAACTGTCGCTGTTAGAAAAGAGTGGCAGGTGTTAGTTATTTGTATGGCCACCATAGTTAAACTGTTTTTAGAGACATCAGGCTATGCATATTGGAGTGGCAGCATATTCTAAATGATGTAAATGACAATACACCTACATCAGTACCCCTGCCACTGGCCAGTGAGCAAAAAAAAATGAAAAAAAATTGTATTGTGACAATAATCTGATAGCAGTTCAATTTTAGGTGTACCTATGCAGAGCAGTACACAATATTTACAAGTGTAAAAAATAATCAAAGGACCCCATAGCAAAAAATAGAAAAATAAAACTTTGCAATGACCTATGAACACATTCCTGGTTACTGCTACTCTCAGATTTAGAGGGGGCCAGTGCATGTGAAGACATGGTGAGTCAGGTCACACAAATATACCCCAGTGGTAAAGCCTATAAGCACCAGTGAGACCATCTACAACAAACCAACATCCCAGTGGCAAAAGACAGGACTGTCAGATACTGCACAGGCACCAGATATGTCGTAGATACCCCAGAGAAAGAGGG